AAGAGCACCAAGGAATTACTGGTCCTTGAATGCCACCCGTGTCTATTAGGTACCCTTGATAATAGATAACACACATTTATAAAAGTGGGATATGATGGAAAAACAAAGGAGATGCTGACAAAGTTTCTATAAAATGGCAGATTTTGGGTGAACTTTGGGAGAACATATCTCCTTCCATAGAAGTCCAATAGGGACGTGCCATACACCGTTTTTAATATTGAGATATCAACTACCTTGTGTCAAAATTTAAAAACCATAGGAGTACACACTGCCCTGTAGAGGCCGTTGAACACAGACTGTCCAGAAATCCCCTGCACTTGGGGCTGTCTGGACCGATTTTTGGGAAAATTATTCCCGCCTCAATTATTGGCAAATTAGGTGCATGATATGTCAAATTGAATCTTAAGGTGTCTAGTTTACTCTATAAAAGTTTGAGAGCAATTGGTGGAGTTTTTTGTCCGGAATCTTGGAAAGAATGAAAGCTGTTTGGAGCCCTGTTTGAGGTTGGCTGGCAGATTTGCTTGTCCAATTTCAAACGGTGATAACCAGAGCAAACGAGAACTTTTTGGAGCGTGTGATAGCTTGTTGGAAAGATAATTAAGTATAGAATAACATACTAAAATATGAGAGGTTCGCGACGCGCAAATTTTCTGCAGTAATTAAAATACTGAACCATGTTCGGATAGGTAAAAATCGTAAAAGTGAGATTTATGCTAAGTGGGTTTATGGGAACCCCTTAGTGACTTGAGAGAAGTATTATATGATAGTTAGGCAATTAATATTATTATTCCGAAATTTGTTTTCAGTTACGGACACAGCTTTTATTCATTACGCTTTATTATTGTTTTAAATGCTCGTGTAATGAAAAGGAAAAAGTTTACTCACATTTTTATAAATGAACTGCTGGGATTGTAATTGCGCTTAATATCATAATTAATGTTAACAATACCGGTACGTAACGAGATGTTATCCACATTACCAAAATATTATGGTGAGACGAACATGGAGTGTGTAGGTTTAAGTCGCGCAAGGTACAGTGACTTATGCAAAAGCTATAGCTCATATGCAATGTCTTTCACCAAAGAAGGTATTTATTATATCTCAACTTCTCAATGTCAATCACCACATACTTATTTCATTTATGTCACTTTTTGCAATTTATAATTCATTTTTGAAATTGGTATTGTAATATTTAATTTGACTCTTAATGCATAGCATGTTGGAAGCTCATCACGCACACATACCCACACCCACTCCCACACGCGCACATGCACACCCACACACGGTTAATGCTTCCTAGTCAAATAATTGAAAGTTGTCATGCTTACGGCTTCATGTGAGAGTTAATTATTGTGATTTTATTCTTATAAAACATGATAAACTATGAGTTTGTCAATCTCCCCTATTGGCGAGTGATTGAGATTTAATCTCTGAATGCATCCCTATTAGAGATATTTTGTGTGTGTGTGTCTAATCCATACTTTGGTAATAGTCACTAACAGGTTGAATTAACCACCCTTCAAATATTTTTCATCATATAAATCATGTAATATTACTTTTTTTTAACACAAACATCCTATCTAGATAATTTAGCAAAAAGTTCATGTTTTTTTAATTTCATAAAAAATAACACTTAAATACAAAATACAGTCCCTGAATTCATCCTAATTAGGGACATATTTTTTCTCTCTCTATTTGGGACAGATTTTTTCTGTCCTTATTAGAGACGAATTTAGGAACGAATTTTACTATTTCTGTTCCAAGTTGGGACGGACAATATTCCGTCCCTATTAGGGACAGATTATAGAAATTGAAAATATTTCGTCCCTAAATTTGTCCCAAATAGGGACGAAATATTTTTCCATCTCAAAATCCATCCCTACTAGAGACAGAATTTATTTCATCGCTAATTTCATCCCAAATAGGAAGAGATTATTTTTTTCTGTCTCTAAATTCTTCCCAATTAGAGACTGAAAATATTCTATCTCTAAAATTCGTTCATAATTCATGCTTTTTTAGTAGTGTGACTCTATCGAGTTCAAATTTATTGAAGACTATAAAATAAATTGTTTTAAATCTACTAAGTTCTCAATAGCTTATTTGGACTAGATAGTTAAGAGAGACGACTGTTAAACGAAACCACAAGTCCAATAGCAACGGGGAAAAAAAAAAATCAAGAACAAACATCCTCCCCACGTATAGGGTTTAACAAGCAAGACAAAGAAAGTAATATGTGCAAATGCTAAAAGAAAAAATTTAAAAGTAGCTAAATGTTATGCATTGATGTCAAGGTCGCGTTTTTGTTTTAATTGTGGTTAATAGTATTCGGCTTAACTTGCATGCATTTTGATCAATCTATTTTTTTATTAGGTTAAAGGCAAGCTATTTACATAGGGTTTATATAAGTAATTCATATAGATATTTCTCATTATTTATTTTCAAATAATTGATATAAATAGTATTTAAGCTTAAGATCATGTATCTTTTATTAAACTAAACCCTTCGGATTTTTCCCAAGTGATTATTAGTGACTAGTAAATGACGAAGACGATGGGAAGAGCTTAAAGGGTCAACAATTAATGGAGGATGAGGAAAATTTTATAAAATGTCTATAAAGGTCTGTGTTGGACTCTTTATTTGGCATTGAAGATTAGATGAAAGGGGACCTGATGTCCTGATTACAATTTGCGGCGGAAAGAGGCCATATGCATTGATGAGGAGTGGGTAAGTGCACCAAAAGAAAATACCCATTTCTTTTCTTTTTTAGTTAATACCCATTTCTTTTTAAGGATTAAGTAGTTGAGCAACAATAAATAAATAACAAAAAAAATCACAATATTATTTGAAAATTCCATTTTGTACAAATTTTGGAGAGACTTCAAAAAAAAATCATTACCAAATATATAGACAACAATTTTTTTTAAAAAGAATTATTTTCTTCTTCTTTTTTATGTCTTTTTTATAAAAGTATAAATGTCGAGTTACAACAGTGACTCGTTTGGTTCCAGAGCGTGAAGCCCATTTGGAAAACTCTTTTACAAGTCAAACCAATGAATAACACTCAAAAATTGAAACACACCCAATAAAAGCCCAAATAATGCTCTTGAACCTTTACATGCAAAGACCCAAAAGGCCCATAAATAAATGCCATAGCGGATGATTTTTTCCCCCTAATACAAAATCGAAAAATAATGGAAGTTTTTATAGAAAAAAAAAACCAAATATGAGAATACCAAAATATAATCATATGATATCAAATAGACAGAAATTATTATTTTTATTTAAAATGACTAGATTATTTGAAATGATTACCACCACCGATTAATCTTTACTCACTCTTTATATTAATGTGATATCGTCATCCTGAAAATATATTAATTAAAATTATTATTATTATTATTTTACGAACTTCATTATTAAAATCATGATGATTGATAGGTTGAAATTTTTCAATTAATTTATCTACTATGGTGTCACACGTAAAACCAGTCAATGAGAGGATATAATGAAAAGGACAAATATATAGACCAGGCACAACAATCTCTATTTTTTAAAAAACTTTAAATTGAGATGGAACTTAGGTTCCATTTCTCACTCCCTCCCATGGTTATTGGTTAGTAAGCAACTAAGCACAGCTCCAAATGTAAAGTCCAAAAGACCAAAACCCTCTCACCTCATTGAACTGAGTCATTTTAACGTATCCTTTTGTGCTCAATTGCATATATGAATTATATCTATTTTATCAAAAAAATAAATAAAAGTATGTCTATTGAGTTTTTTTTTTTTTTTATATAACAACCCTAATTATCTCTTTCAGGTAAATTGAGTCTCTGCGTGTTTTCATACATTTCAATTCTTTTTATCACATATAAAATTAGGGTTCACTTTTTCTATCGACAATGTAGATAACTTATCTACATTGAGCCTAAAATGACGTCGTTTTGGAGCAGAAATCAAGTTTTTTTATAATTATAATTTATTTTAGGATTATAATAATCAGGGGTGTTTGCGATCTGGATTGGATCGATTTTGGAAGCAAAAATCATCTGATCCAATACCTTCGGTTTGATCTTTTAATCATCCATTCAGTTTGGATTTTTTTTTCAAATCCGATCCAATCCAATTTTTTTCGGTTTGGATTGGATCAGTTTTCAGTTTTTTGAAAATCCTAAATTTGTTTCATGATTATTGTGAAAATACCATTTTTTGTATAAATTGGCTTTGTAAATTTTTTTTTTTGAAATACAAAAGCATCAATAAATAATAATATAGTTTTTTTTGGGCAATGAGATATAAAGTTCTACACAGATGGAATTTTGTTGATGAGATGTGATTAGGTTTTTTCTTGGATTTAGTTGATGGATTAATAGGTCTTGGGTTTAGAAATTCTCGGGCTATGATTGGAGAAATGTCCAAGTAAGTAGAGAAAAATTAATATATTGGATAAGTTTAGAGTGGATCGATTTTCATCATCCCATTCAAAAACCAATCCAATCCAATTAAAATTTGCAGGTTTTTTTTCAGTTTTCGGTTTATTCGGTTATCAATTTTTCGGTTCGATCATTGCGGTTTGAATCGATTTGGATCGGTTGATGAACACAACTACAAATAATTTTTTTTATTATAATTTTTTTATTTTTAACCTAAAACGACATCGTTTTGGGAATGAACGAAACTAATTCCGAATCAAGAATTTAATCACAATTAAACTCTTCACCTCTCTCAAAAAACAAAAATTTAATAGAAATAGAACCCAAAATTTTTCCATATGTGTTTTCACCAATTGGTTTGTATTCAGCCATTTTAGACGAGGACGTTTGGTAGAAGATAAATTTTTTTTTATTCAAAAATTTCAATTTTTAAAATTATAATTTTTACGTTCAGTTTATAATAATATTTAAAAATTTTAAAATTTAGAAAAATTGAAGAATCTAAATAATACCAAACCCAGGAACTACCCATTACCAAGCGAATGCCTCACCTACCCACCTTCACTAGTGTAAGTCCAAACCAAACCAAAAATATAGGACACTGTCTTCTACATTAAATTCATCTCCTACTCCTCCTGATTTTTTCAACGCAGAAGCTTATCTTTTATAAACATTCACGCCCCCTAGACCCTAGTCTTGAAGCTTTCATTTCACTCTCTCACTTTTCAATGACTCTGGCTCGGGGCTTCGCCGTTGTGATCCTCTTGTTTGCTCTTTATTGTGGGTTTGACCCTTTTGGGCACAGCCCCATAGCAAGCTTCCCTGATTTTGAGGCCAAAAAGGTTGACATGCCCGCTTGGTCTGAGGTTCCTACAGACCAAGACAAACATAACTTGTTGCAAAAATCCGAGGTTAAGTTTCTGAACCAAGTTCAAGGACCAGAAAGCATTGTCTTTGACCCTCTTGGTCGTGGCCCTTATACAGGTCTCGCTGATGGAAGAATTTTGTTCTGGAATGGTCACTCTTGGGTTGACTTTGCTTATACCTCCCCCAATAGGTCACAATTCAATTTCTTTTCTTTCTTTATTCTTTATTTTCTGCGTTCTTAGATTTTGCTGTGCTTTTAGGTTGTTTTAAGGGAAAACTTCAAAAACAGTTTTCTCACTTGTCAGTTGACTCCTCACAATTTTTTTGAATCTTTTATATCTTTATTTAATTTTTTTTTATCCTTTACCCTTCTTATTTAAAGTTTTTTTATCACTTGCCCCTCTTTTTTAGGAGGTAAATGATAAAAAATCTTTAAATCAAGCTAAATAATTCAAAATTTTGAGAGGGGTAAATGATTATGAGTATTAAAGAATAATATAAATTATTAAAAAGACTCTCACCTAATACAAGATTTTGGATTAAAGTGATTCTTTACATGGTATCAGAGTTTCAGTGACCACAAGGTCACTAGTTCGATCCTCATCACCCCCACTTGTGTAATTAAATAAGATAAGCATAAGGTAAACCAAAAATTGGGTTTATGCAATAATCCACGCTTCAAGGTCAAAGAGCTCTTGCGTGAGGGGATGCGTTAGAGAATAATATAAACTATTAAAAAATCTTCACCTAACATCTTAAGATTTTGGATTGAAGTGGTTCTTTACAATTAGGAAAGTTACAGGATTTTTTTGTTGTTGAAGTTTTCCCTTGTTTTAATGAGATGCACATATATCATAATAGAGGAAAGTGTGTGTAATTTTAAGTACATAAACTTAGGTTCTTCTAAAAGAGATAAACATAAAAAAGTGTGAGTCCCACTAAAATAAAAAAAAATAAAAATGTGGATTCCACCTCTTTGTATTTATCTCTCTCTTAAAAGGACTTAAGTTTGTGTCATTTAAAATGACATACCGTAATAAATACTACTCCCTTTGTATTGTATGTTACTATGTTTTAGTAAAAACTTGACTCTTATTGTATACTTTTTCATAGGTGTTGGCTTTGGCTATTATTTAGAGGGAAAAATAAAAGAGGTGGATGATGATAGCACACTTGGATTGAGAAATATTTGAATGTCAATAAAAGTTGAAATCAACAAATTTGTTTACTTGTTACAGATATGATGATATGTGTTGCTTCCAACTGTTCCAAGATTAAGATGTTACTATTTCTACCATCTATATAGTTTATAATTGTAGATCCTTACCACAATCAGGGAATAAAGTTGAGTTGGAAGTGCAATCTAGACACTTAGGTTAGAGGGAATTGATTCCAATGTACAGAAACTTCATTGGATCTTAGCCAAATTTAAATTTTGAGACATTCATTTAGTTTCAAATTGCAATTATCTGCTGATTTTGTAGAATGAACAATTCTTTGGTCAAATGGTAAAATCAGATTATTAAGGATGAAAAGTAAATAATTAAACGGCCTAATTCTAATATATCATAACTGCATTCATAAATTAATATGATGCCTGGATTGTGTTCTTTATTTGAACTTTGAAGATGCTAATAGAACTATAAATACCAGCAATTCTTCAAGCCTTTTTGTTTCTTACTCTGATTTTCCACTCTAGACTTCATATTCTATCATACTGTTAAGAGATCCTGTGTCCTTCTGACATAATTGACGGACTTTACATATTATAGTCTCATCTTTTTAAAAGTTTGAGCACAATTCGTTAAAGCTTGTTTTGTGACTACTGAATTTAAAATTTTGGATCAATGGAGTCCTGGCTAAATGTTACTTTTTTCCTCATATACTATGGCTATATATGTTTGCAATACCGTATGATGAAATGTTAATGATTTTTTTTTCTCTCTCTCCATTTTAAACAGGTCAGAACTATGTAATCCTATAGCATCTGCGACACCATTTAGTTATGTGAAGACTGAGCATATCTGTGGAAGACCTTTGGGACTCAGATTTGACAAGAAAACAGGTGATTTGTACATTGCAGATGCATATTTTGGTCTGATGACGGTGGGGCCCGAGGGTGGTTTAGCTACTTCTCTTGTAACTGAGGCTGAAGGTGTGCCACTAAGATTTACTAATGATGTTGACATTGATACAGAAGGGAATGTTTATTTTACTGAGAGCAGCGCTAAATATCCGAGGAGGTAGGATTTTGTTGTTAATTAGTAGATACTGAGATTGCAACTTCTAGTAATTGTCACCATTTTTGATATAAGAGAAGTATTCAAAGAAAGTTAAAGTCTCTGCTTTGTTTGTTATAATGTACCACTACTGAAAACTGGTGCCATAAGTAGGAATGTTGAACTCTTATTTTCCTATGCATCATACTACAGCAGTGAAGGGCATCACATTACTATTTGTTGTGGTGACAGCATGATTTGGTTGGGGAAAGCTATGCTCATGCTAGTCAATAATTGAAGTAAATCCAAATGACTACAATTAATTTATTTGGTTATTTTTCTTTCCAAAACATAGACTGTTAAGAGATGGCTTGTTGCTGTTTGACCTAGTGTATGTAGTGGGTATTATTGTGTTAATTTAATTTATTGCTGCTATCACAATTATCCATCTTCAGAAGATGCTTCAAAGCTCAAGACTGGATAGGCAAGTAATAATACTGATTGAGATTTGATGTCATTTTCTTATTGATTGTCTAAGCAGGAGTATGAAAAAAATAGAGAAGCACATTGGGGAATTTGTGGGAGGTGTATGTAGGGCATCATCATAACCTACCTAACCTGCATTTGTAGGTTCAGTGGAAGTGCATGATATGTTATTAAGTACCATGGTTTAGCTGGGATGAGTATATGAGTATTGACTTCTATATAAGGTCTCTATGCTTAAACATGCTTTTTGTTTGCATGGGATCCTTTGATTTAGGGGAAGTTAAGCCCATTGAGCATCCCAATCTGATGTAGTAACTCAGGTGTTAGGTCTATGAAAAGTCATTGCCTTAAAGATTTGGAGCTTAGAATTCTGAAATACTGATATTGTATTGCTTCATCTGTCTTGGTTTGTTGGTTCTGACATAATTTTTGTACAGGAATTTCATCCAGCTGGTGTTTTCTGCGGACGATACTGGCAGGGTTTTGAAATACAACACTGTCACTAAGGAAACCACTGTTCTTATGAGGAACATTCAATTCCCAAATGGAATTTCCTTAAGCAAGGATGGTTCCTTCTTTGTCTTCTGTGAAGGGATTATTGGCAGGTGAATCTAATAATCACGTAACAGCTTTCAACTTTTTCTATTTGCAGTACCCTTTGTGGAGAAATTCTTAATTGCTATCAGAGTAAGAAAAATATGTTGTTTTATAATATTGAAATGTGTACCACTTCAACTATGTGAGTCATCACTGTTTCCCACTTACTATATTTTTTATGCTATGGTTGAAATGGTGCACATTTAATGTTCAATAAGGGGTGCCTAAGAATTTCTCCCTTTTGCGCAGTGTCTTTCCTATGTACCTGTATATGAGCATGCGTTATGCTAGAGTCTGCATAAGGTTACCATTTCCCTAGTTCTTGTTTACTCATAGTCCGACACTAACTGATCTTTCTAAGTTGGAAACAATGCAAATTCAGTTTATTGGCTGTTGTTATTGTTGTCTGATAGCAATTAAACTACACTAGTCAGTAATAAATCTTTCTCTTTTTTTACTCACTTTTGTCTGAACTTAAACATGTTATAAGTCCTATGTTAGAACTCATGTTAATGCAGGACTTACTTTTTTTAATATCATTATTATTTTGTAGGTTACGTAAGTACTGGCTGAAAGGAGAGAAAGCTGGGACTTCAGAGATCATGGCCATACTACCTGGATATCCTGACAATGTGAGAGTCAATGAAAATGGTGATTTTTGGGTGGCTCTTCATTGTAGAAGGAATATGTACACATACATTAATGGTCTCTACCCAAACATTAGGATAGTCATACTCAAGCTTCCTATACCAACAAAGATTCAGTACCTGTTTCAAATTGGAGGTAGGTTGAATGCAGTAATTGTGAAGTATAGCCCTGAAGGTAAACTCCTTCAGATATTGGAGGACAGTGAAGGAAAAGTTGTTAAAGCAGTGAGTGAAGTGGAGGAGAAGGATGGTAAACTTTGGATGGGAAGTGTTCTCATGCCATTTATTGCAGTTTACAACTTGACATGAAGCAGATCAAATTCTCATCCCCCACCCACACACCAAGGTCTTTATTTTTTTTACCTTGAATTCTCAGTTTAACAAGTTGGTTTTTGCCTCAACTTTGTCAATAATGGACCTCAAATTCCCTATTGAAATCCCGAGTTGAGTTTTGCTTCCACATTGCCATTAATGCTTACTAGCTGCCCAGCAATGAAAAAATGAAGCGAAAATGTATAATGTGATCTCTTAAAGATATTACGTGTTTGGTAAAAGTACAAACACTGGGGAAATTTTTTTACCAGAAAAATACAATAACCGGGAAAATGGTGGGCAAGGTGAAAAAGTGATTTTTTTGGAAAAATTAAAAAAAAAATTGTTTGGTAGGCCGAAATATTATCGAGAAAATTTTGGTGTAAAATTGGTATAAATTTGAGTTTGATGGGGAAATCAAAATATCACCATCAAGGTGGTATTCTGAGGTGGGCATTTTCCTTCATTTTTATATTACAAAAATATTTTCATCAAATATTTTTTCCTAGGCAAATTTTTCCTACTCCATACCAAATATGGTCATTTGTGAATTTCATCTACCACTTTCTTAGTATTCTAAAAAAAAAATCCACTTATCAAACACCCTCTATAGTGTTTGATTTGGTTCAAAAAAAATTCATTGATAAAAATTGCTGTCTAAAGTGGTGAAATGGTTAACAAGTTAACTTATTTTATAGTTTAATAAAGTGTTCTAAGGAACACTATAGTTTAAATTTAAGATCTATAAATTTATTTTATTAGAGAGTACAAAATGGCATGCTATTTAAAGAGTGAGTCCTGTTGCATCTCATATGGATAAAAGGTTATATTTATCTTATGTTGCATAACATAAATAAGTTTTCTATACACACAAAGTGAAGGTGGGTCTCACATTCATTTTTTTCTTTCCTCTTACATGTGGATCCCATTTATAATTTTATTTCTATAATATGAGATAATTATTTTCCTATTACATAAAATAAATACAACCCACGGTTAAAATGCTTCAACATACGCTTAAATTTTTTCTAATTTTATCGGGCCACCCAATGTTAAACAATCGGGGACCTTTGGCCTCCATCTATTTTTTTTTTTTAAATTCACTTTTTAAGGAAAAAAAAAAATTAAAAGCTGCTAGTGCCTTCCTCAATTTGGCCAGAGACAAGGGTGTCAAAGACTCAAAATAGTTTTGGTTTTTAACTTTGAAAATAATATATTGCTGTTTTTGTCGTGAAAAAAAAAAGAATTTTGGAAAATATCTTTATAATTTAAAAGTAAAATTTATCAATATATTTAAATAAAATTCTTTTACAAAGCCAGAAAATCAGTATTAAAAATTAATTTAAATTAAAATATTTTACAAAATCTAATCTATGGACCCTGGTTTATGCGAGCAGCAATTTCTTTTTTTTTTCTAAAAGAAGAAGCTGACAACACTTAGGGGTGTAAATGGGTTAGGCTGACTTACAGGGACTTACGGCCTTGTCTATATTAGGCCAGGTTTGGCCTATTGCAAATAGTAAAATAGAATAGGCCTAGACTTTTAAAAAAATCTATTTAGAAAATAAGTCATATATTTTTTGTACATATCGGGCCTATAAGCCTAAAGACCGGCCTATATTATATTATTTATTTTAAATAATATAAATAAAATTATTATTTTAATAATTTTGAATAATAAAGTAATATTATTTTAATTATTCTTTTAATTGTTGAATGTTTAATAGACTTAAACAGGCTAACAGGTCTAGGTCAAGACTTTTATTTTTAAATATAGATTATGCCAAATTTATAATTTAGGGCCTACACAGGCTAATAGGTCAGGCCATACCCAATATTTTTTAAACAGATCTGACATATTTAAGTCAAAGCATAGCCTAGCTTATTTACATCCCTAGCAACACTTATGATAACCTGAGCCGATTAATTCATTTTTGACCTGGCTCTTTCAGATCAGGCTTGTCACTGAACCGGTTGGACCGGACGCCACGACCTCACTGGCTAGGGGTGTGCATGGGTCAAGTCGGGTCAGGTTTTTGTGCTGACTCGACCCAACTTGATTTTTATAGGTAAGGTATTGTGACCCGACCCGTTTTAATTTGATCCAAGTCAGGTTTGACTTGGTTTGAATTTTTTTGAACTAGTTCAGAACCGATTCGAATCTGACCTAACTTTGTTTCTGAAGTGGGTCTGACTTCGTTTCTGAAGTGGGTCACATCCGACCTGACTCGTTTTTGACTTTATTTCAAAACATGTTTTTAATTTAATTTTTTTATAGTTATTGATTTATTTTTTAAACTCATGTAATTTAATTATTTGTTTGTTTTAAAATATATAAATTTTATAATAAATTTGATATTTGTTGAATAAATAAAGGAATGTAATTTTAAGCCCCTGCACATGTGAAGCAAAATTAGTGAAAATTAATGAAAAGTAAAGGATGAGAGAACGCTCTTCCCATCTTAAGATAAAAAATCACTAATTTTAACAATGATATATTATAAAATTACATAATGTCTACTGATAGAAAATTCATAAATTCAAACTCAAATTTTCAAATTAAATTAAATTTAAAATTTCTAACAAAATTATTTATGTATTTTTCACAATACTAAAAAATATCATATTTTCGATGAAATTTCCACGTTGCAAATAACGAAAATTTTATCACAAAATTATTTTTTCGTCGGAATACTTTTTGTCGAAAAGCGACGGAATTTTTTCTTTAATGAAAATTTTTACAAAAATAAATTTTCTATCGAAATTTTGTTTCCTTCAAAAGTTTTGACAAAAATGATTTCCTCCATCAAATGTTTTAAACGAAAAAAGAATTCTGTAAAAAATTTGGACGGAATATTTTTCGTTCAAAATTTCGATCGGAGTGTTTTTGACGAAATTTTCGACGAAAATTGTTTTGAGGGAAATGTTTCATTCGAAACTTTCGACGAAATTTAGATTCTCTAAAGAATTTTGACAGAATATTTTTTCCGTTAAAATTTTTTATCGAACTATTTTTTGTCAAAAATTATACAAATTTTTTGACAGAAATGTGTTCCGTTGAAAATTTTGATAGAAATATTTTTTATCAAAAATTTTGACGAAAATATTTAGTTGAAAATTTTCGATGAATATGTGTTTCTGTAAAAATTTTGACGAAAATTTTTTTTTGTCAAAAAGTTTAACGAAAATGGTTCTGTCAAAAACTTTTGCCAATATTTGAATTCTGTAAAGAATTTTGATGAAATTTTTTCCGTCAAAATTTTTTGATTAAATGTGTTTCGTCAAATTTTTTGATGAATATGTGTTTTTGTGAAATATTTTGACAAAAAAAATTTTAAGTCAAATTTTTTTACAAAAATATTTGTAGTCACAAATTTTGATGAAAATATTGTGAACCAATTTTTTCACACCCTACTCGCAGCGTTGTTCCTTCCCGATCAGGCCCTTAAATTTTTTTTATTTTTTTTTTGAGTAATATCAAAGTTAGCACAGTCACATTCACAGTTACACACTCGCGTAGCTCAAACAACGTTTCTATTCTCCCGCCTCTGCGAAAAATGGTAAGTTAGGGTTCTTGCTTATTCTCTTTCTCTTTCTTTTTCTCCTCTTCGCTTTTCAATAACAACTAGTCCAGGTTTGGATTGATTGTCTTCTTTGACACTTTGAAATTCCTTATCTAATTTTTTTGTTTTTTTTAATTTAATGTTCGAATTACAGAGTGATATAAGGAAATGGTTCATGAAATCACATGACAAGGAAAAAAATGCCGGTGGCTCCAAGCCTTCTAATCAAGCGAAGTCTTCCCCTGATAAACCCCAACCGGCGAAAACGGTGAGTGTTGTTACGTTTTTTTAATTTTCTTTCTTTTGTAATTCACGTTGATGATTTTTTTATTTTTTTAATTTTTTTTTTTTTTGAATGCAATGTGTCTGTGAAGTTAGAGTCTAGGTTTAGTTTCTGAATTCAATGATTTAATGGAAAAAGGGGGCTTGGATGAAAAACAAGTAAATTTGAAGAATGCCAGAATACTGGTTCGTGCATTCTTGTCCTGGTGGCTTGTCTACATTGACTACTGATTCAGGATAATTATTGTTGAGGGTTTGTTTATGTGTACTAGTTGTAGTCATTGCCTGGCGAGTTGGTATTGGTTTTGTTTTTCAACTGTGTATTGTCAATTTTTTAATAATTTACCCGAGTCTATAAGCGAATGGGTTCTGGTTAAATGGTGTTGAGATATATAGTCCCATATTAATTGTGTGGGCAACTAATGTGGCCTTTATAAGGCCTTGGACACTCCCACCCTTTGAGCTAGCTTTTGGGGTGGTGTATCCCAAGGTTCTTTACAAATGGTTCCCTTGATGGGTTTCATTAAGAGTTTTGCAATTCAAGGAGCTTATTGTCTTCTTAGGGCTTAGAACTAGTTGGGTATTTGAGTATTAAAAAAATGTATTTTTGCAGGTGCCTGTAGGTCAAGAAAGTTCAGGGAGGAGGATAACTAGCAAATATTTTAATACTGATAAAAAAAAGCCAAAAGATGAGAAAGAAACGCAGGAGCTCCCTGCTAAAAGAAAGAATATGAAGGACGGTGAGGAATTACCGGAGCCCCGTCTTTTAAAAAAAATTCATGAAGATGATGGAGGTGACTCTGTCTTGCCCACACATAAAAAGAAGTTAGCTGATACCACTCCAACAAAAAAATTGAAGAGTGGATCAGGTAGGGGGATTCCCCAAAAAGCCGCAGATTTGGAAGAAAGTGATGAAGATGATGACAAAGATGTTGTGTCTCCCGTTAAATCTGGTGGAAGGGGTCGTGGTGGAAGGGGAGCATCAACACAATCAACTGGTGGGAGAGGTAGAGGGGGTGGTAGGGGTGGATTTGTGAATTTCGGAGAAAGAAAAGATCCTCCACACAAAGGAGAAAAGGTTCAAACTTGTCAAGCATTGGATCTATTGATTGGAAATATTGTCTTTCCCAATACATTGAAACTTCTTTTGTGTATCAGGAAGTCCCTGAAGGTGCTCCTGACTGTTTAACTGGCTTAACTTTTGTAATCAGTGGAACACTGGACAGGTATTTCAGTCGATATGTTCTATACAGTTCACAATTTTTTCTGAACTTGCATGAGACAAGACATGGTTTACATTTTATTGCTTCCTCATCTTTTATTCCCCCCTTTTCCTGTTATTTTTTGTTATTGTTTAGGTTCTCTTTCTATTCAGAGTGTATAGTTCATAATTATTACATCTCATATTTCACAATCTTGAGTATTTATATTTTTACTTTTGCATATTGACAGTTTGGAACGAGAAGAAGCAGAAGATTTGATTAAACGCCATGGTGGCCGTCTCACTGCATCAGTCAGCAAGAAAACGGTTATACAATTCTTTTATTCAATTGTAATAGAGTTTATGTAATCAACATGTGATTAACATCCTTTTTTTGCAGAATTATCTCTTATGTGATGAAGATATTGGGGGACGGAAGTCTGCAAAAGCCAAAGAGCTAGGGTTAGTATTCTTAGATTTATACTTTTACAAGGTATTTTAAATAGTTTCCACATTTTACTATCACTTATGATTCTTATTTCTCTTTCATTATATAGAACTTCCTTTCTCACAGAGGATGGGTTGTTCGATATGATTCGTAAGTCAAAACCTGCAAAAGCTCCTTCACAAGAAAAATACAAGAAATCTGTGAATAATGCTGTTGCATTAGCATCCCAGTCAAAAGGTCCTCCGAAAGCAGAAGCCAAGGGTAAGCCCTAATAAGCATGTGCTTCTATTTTATGGTTTTATATTGCTTGGGTTGTGTTTTTTATTTCCATTTTATGGGCCCGTTTGGATGGGCTTTTTTTAGTCAATAGCTGCTTTTTTTAAGGGAAAAAAAAGCACTTCTACTACAAAGTCCGTTTGGATATCTGCTTTAAAAAAACAGAAGTCACAAAAAAAGCCAAAAACCTGCTTTTCTTGGAAGGTAAAAATTTTAGCTTCTAAAAAAAACAGAAATCAAAAGACAAATATTTTTTCTTTCAAAAATCAAATATTTTTTAAAGATCTATATAGCTTCAGCTTTTGTAAAAAACACTTCTAAAATAAGCAAGCCATAAAAAGTCCTTTTTTTACAAGCCCATCCAAACAGGATGAATTAGCAGCAGCTCTTAGAGTTAAGTTGTTACATCTTGCAATCAAAGGGTGTTTGTTTATTTATATGTTCTGAGTTGCATTCGTTTATTAACAAATGCAGTCTCTATATCTTCACGCTCACCTTCTACCAAAGCCAAGCTGAAGAAAGCAACTACTGTTCAGTCTTCTTTGATGTGGACAGAGAAGCATCGACCTACAGATCCAAAGGATATCATAGGGAATCAGTCACTTGTATAAATACTAGTCTTATTACCAGCTTTTGGTGGTGAAATTTTATTCTTCTATATGGCTGAATTTGGATAATCTTTTTTCGTTTTCCTAAATGTAAATGGTATACAGGTTTCCCAGCTTCGAAATTGGTTGAAAACTTGGCATGAACAATTTTTGGACACTGTTAACAAAAAACAGGGAAAAAAGAAAAATGACTCTGGTTCAAAAAAAGCTGTCTTGTTAAGTGGAACCCCTGGTATAGGAAAAACAACTTCAGCAAAGTTGGTCTGTCAGGAGCTTGGTTTCCAAGCCATAGAGGTGGCAACATTTCTTTCTAAATTTACATATTTGGCAAAGGTATTTCATCATCTAGTTTCTCTTACCTGTGTCCATATATTTAAGGTAAATGCTAGTGATAGCCGTGGAAAAGCTGATAGCAAAATTGTAAAAGGAATCAGTGGAAGCAATGCAAATTCTATCAAGGAACTTGTAACCAATGAGGCCCTTGGTGTTGACATGGATCGGTTGGTCTTTTATTATTATAATATGTAAAATTTGTGAATCCATAAGATGCACCTTGTAAAGTTTCTATAATTGTAAATTTCAGGTCAAAGCTTTCCAAAACTGTGCTCATTATGGATGAGGTTGATGGGATGTCAGCTGGTGATAGGGGTGGTATTGCTGATCTTATTGCTAGCATCAAGATATCAAAAATTCCTATTATCTGCATTTGCAATGACCGTTACAGCCAGAAACTGAAGAGCCTTGTGAACTACTGTTTGCTCCTTAGTTTTCGAAAGCCTACAAAGCAACAGGTCTTTATGTGCTTATTGCTTACTAAAAAATCATTATTTAAATTAGGTCCTTTTGTTGCTTTCTTTTCATCCAAATCATATGGGTTTGTTTCAGTTCTGTTTATTTTGCTTGTGAAAACATTAGGGATACCCTCCACCAAATGATTTATGGTTATTTATATGCAAGATATTAGAGAGACTTTGTCAGTTCTCTAAGAAGTGAGTCTTTTAATTGCTTGATACTTTTGGGGGATTGAAATACCCTTTTCGTGAAGGCTATACCTTATTTCTAACATATCAATGATTCTTCTTCTTTTTTTCCTTGGCTGCATTATATTACTTGACCATGGAACAAGAACAAGATTTATTTTATATTCTTTTTATTGATTTTGAAATATATGCTTTCTATTAGTTGGACTTGCTGAGTTCTTGAATGTTGTCAGCTCAAATATGAACTTTCATGTCTTTTGTCTTCTTATGATATTGGTGTTCCATGTACTTCAACTTGTGTCTTTCTTAAATCTTGACTATTTTGGTATCACAAAGGATCTTAACCTTGGAATAGTTATCAATGATCTGGTCTATAAATTTATTTTAGTTTTTTGAGCTCAAAGCTAATGAATTCAATAATTTTCTACTAAAATTCATTGGTTTTGTTTGTTGCTTTGAACTGGGTTTTCTATTATGATCACTTAGTTTGGCTGTACTGTTATCCATGAGTGAATCTGGTTAAAACCATTAAATCAAATATAAAAGAAATTAAGAATATATATATATATGTATACTTTTATATGTACATATAAACGTATGTATGTACGTACAAACAAATGTATGTATGTATTCTCTCACCCTCATTTTTTAATCTAGCTCCTAGGTGAATTATCAAGTTTTGGCTTCATATTCTAACAAAGATTATGTGTTGCCCGTTGATTAAAGGCCAGGGAGAAGATGGTTAAAAGAAGTGAAGATAGAGTTAATGAGAAAATAGAGTGAAGGGAGGCTAGCCAAAATATGAAAAGTAATTACATTGACGACTTAATGATAATTGGATAGTAAATGAAATAACTCCAGCCATATGAAACTATTCAGTTTGATATCTTTTGCTTCAACTTTGGAATCATTTAAACAGTTTTGGGGAGGGATGCGGGAGTTGTTGGTGGTTACTTTTTTGACATGATGATATGTTACTGGTTATCCCGTTTTTAACAACCCACCTCTTCTGAAAGTTGGGGTGTATAATCAACATTAATATCAACAATACCTTTATCCTAAATTAGTTGGGGTCGGTGATCAATGAACCGAAATAAATAGCAATAAGAGATTGAGGAAAATAAGAAAAATAAAATAAAAGAATAAAATAAAATGAAAATTAAGAAAGAAAAGTAAATAAGAGAAAAAATAACTAAAACAAGAAGAAAAAAGTAAATCAGAGAGAAAGATAAATAATTAAATAAATAAATATAGGGAACAAGGACTAAAACGGGGTGTATAATCTGAATAAAAAAATAATTTGTTGGTTCCTCATGAAAGTGATTATTATTGCTGCTCAATGACACATGGTCCACCGTATATGAGGGTCTAAGTGGCTTAATTTTTTATTGAGTCTGCATACCCTAGAATGCAAGTATATGCTTTTAGTTTCTGAAGTCTGCTAATTGCTTAACATGTTAAAACAAGTATGCTGAGATGTTGGGGTTTTGAACTGGATATTTTATTTATGTCAGATGGCAAAGAAGTTTATGGATGTTGCAAAGGCTGAAGGGCTTCAAGTTAATGAGGTGATTTCCTGATAAATTACGTAGTTCTATCTTAAATCCTGAAGATTTTAACTGTAATTAATTGTGTGAACTTTAAGGGTAATGAGTTACTTTGAATCATTTATATCTGTCTCTTAAGAAACTGTAAAGTTTTTCATTCATATTGACTAACCTAATAGAGGGCGAACCAGAGCAGTGGTAAAACTGTTTCTTTGTGACTGAAAGGTCACAGGTTCGAATTCAGAAAATAGTTTCTTTGCAATTATTTGCAAAGGCGGTTGCGTACAAAGATTGCCCTCACCCCACACTCGCTAGTCGGGTGTAATTAGGGAGTGGTTTTTTTTTTTTGTAAAGCTCCTTTTGGGTCCCTCACAAAAAATATGGTCTCCATTTTCGTCTCTTACAAGAAAAAATACCTATATTAGTCCTTTTTAGGGACTAAATTGGGTCTTCATTGAATTTCTGAGGGACCTCATTTTCAAAGAATTGGAATTGTAGAGGGACCAAAAGTTGACTTTTTTTTTTAAGGGACAAAAGTGGGGATCATGTTTTTTGTTAGGGACCCAAAAGGGGCTTTACTCTTCTTTTTTGTGTACTAACCTATTTTCTTGAATCATTCGCTGAGTTTGTTTAAGATTGCTCTTGAGGAACTGGCAGAAAGGGTTCATGGAGATATGCGCATGGCACTAAACCAGTTACAATATATGAGCCTCTCCATGTCAGTTATCAACTATGATGATATTAGGCAGCGCATGCTTACCAATGCAAAGGATGAAGACATTTCACCATTCACAGCTGTTGACAAGTATGATATTTATATTATCGCTATACTACACTTAAAACCATGCTTTACTGTCATATTCTCTTAAACCATGCTTTACACTACAAGTATGATAAATTTGGTACATTGCATGCAAAGCAAATACAGGACTCAATTGGAGGCAGTATGGACTTTCAAGTTTCAAGTAGTAATTTGATAGGATAAGGACTCAATTGATAGGGTCTCCGGGAAGCAAAATGCACTTTTATTCCATAAAAAGCATTCTTTATAAATAAAACATGGTTCTCTAACTATCTTTTTGTTCCAGACTACTTCCAGTCAACAATTGTCATTCTGGACAACAACACCTTGTAATGATTGTATTTTCAATTAGCCAGTGTTTGAGGATCCCAACTTCCATTTCAACTGTTGATTGGTAGTTGCTAGTTGTTGAGTTGTTTCACTAGTTTGCTTTGTGATATAAATGCGGATATGACGACATTTATAAGGTTTATGATAAGTTGTAGATCTGTGAATTCATCGTCATTTCATCAGTGGTTCAGTGGGCTCTGCATGACAATAATTTCATCTTTTGAAATCGAAAGCATCAATAGTCCAGAAAGTTGTGTGTCTGAATTAAATTTCTTGCTAACTTCTCTTATTGTGTAGGCTTTTTGGTTTTAATGCTGGGAAGTTGAGAATGGACGAGAGGATTAATCTCAGCATGAGTGATCCTGATCTTGTTCCTCTTCTTATCCAGGTTCTTTAATTCATTCCATTTTTTTATAACCTAGTTTGTTTGTAATTGTTATCTGTGAAGGCCAATAGTATGACGAAATTGGTATTTAGAGTTTTTGATACTACTAGTTGCATTAACCTCATTCAACTTTGATATACCGAATCTCGCTTCACATCTTTTAATTAACTTAGCCATATATATGTTTTGTTTTAACCACTTAACTGATTAACAAAAGTCACGCATTGGCTGATTAAAATTAAATTTAGTTGAAATTAAAATTATAATAATACCACTTAATGTACCAATTGTATACTAGATTAGCCATTTTTATAATATATCTAAACCTTCCATATGATAAATTGATCTTTGCATAATCTTCTTATTCATGAATTGCTTCAAAGGAAATTTTTAATAAATTTTATTTGTGCCTGCATGTTTGCTAATGTGATTATATTTTGATGTTGGTAATGGTGATAAATTTTCATTTATTTGGAATTATCTGGATGTTCAAAACAGCCTTTGTTGATTTCATTTTAGGTAGGAGTTTACTTTTACTGCTTGATAGCGATCCATATTTGATTGTCTTTAATGCTGCTAATTATATTTTCATTTTCCTGGCATTATATATGGCAGGAAAATTATATTAATTATAGACCAAGCTTGGCTGGTAAGGATGACAGTGGTATAAAACGCATGAACTTGATTGCCCGTGCTGCTGAGTCTATTGCTGATGGGGATATAGTGAACGTACAGATTCGCAGATATAGACAGTGGCAGCTCTCTCAAACAAGTTCTGTTGCATCATGTATAATTCCGTATGTAGCCTTGTCACTGCTCTGCAAAATAATGAGATTTCCTTGGTGGATTTTGCTCCATCTAGTTGTTCATCCTTTCTCCCCCTTATCTGTCTTCGTTTCAGAGCTTCATTGTTGCATGGGCAAAGGGAAATACTTGAACAGGTAAAAATAATTTGTCTAGTACAAGCTATTGCAATATGTCCTTCCCTCTTCTTCTTTTTTATTTTTCTTATTTATTTTGGGCTCTGGGTTTTAGAAAATGTCTTATATACACAGTTCTTGAATTTGAATCATAGTAGTTAATTGTGCCGCAAGCCGCGCCATATGGGCATTGCGGCGCCTCTCCGCAATAAACCGTGCCGAGCTGCATCGGAATGCAATAGCGGCCATTGCGATCGCATTTGCTGTCATAAGGCAAAATGTCAATTTTGTCCTAAATTTAAACGTGTACCAGAAAAAACTTAAGGGTTTTTTAGTCTATTTGCGTTTCTCTCTGTCACTTCTGCTATCTCTGCCTTTAAAAAATATTTCTTTTTGTCATTATTTCTGTCATATATCTATTCCACTATTTCTGCAACCGCAACCTGCTATAACGCTATAGCGCTTTTCAGGTTGGCCGCGACATGCCGCAATCCGCATTTGATAACTATGATTTGAATGTATTATATGTCCTTATATTAATCTCATACCCAGTGTTTTCATATGAGTAGGCAAGACTTCTGACATATTCTGATTGCATTACCTGATCTAGATGCTTGGTTAGAGATATAAAATCATACATGAATCTGCACTTAATAACTTAAGCTTTTAGTCGAAGAGTCATGTAAGGTTTTATATCTTGAGTAGTAGTTATGTATGGTGTTCTCTTTCGGGTGATAATTGTTTCTGCTGGTCCTTTTCATTGAACTTGTCTGGTTTTGCTTTTAGCTTTGTATGACAACTGGCATTATATCTGCAGGGAGAACGAAATTTTAACCGGTTTGGTGGGTGGCTGGGGAAGAACTCGACAATGGGCAAAAACATAAGGCTTTTGGATGATCTGCATCTTCACATTCTTGCTTCTCGTGAATCTAGTTCGGGAAGGTAAATATAATTTCAATATTTTACCTTTAGTTTATCACCATTTCTCATGTATCTAGGTCAGGAAGTTTAATTTCATCTGGTGACTTCCTGAATGCTTCTGTCAATACTTGCAAATTATTTGCAAGTCCTCTATGATTTTGGTATGACTGGTAAGATTTTGGATGGAAACCAAGTGCAGCTCAAAGCCTGTGAATTTGCTCAGCTGTCAATATGTTCTTGATCTTTAATTGTGTTGAACATTAAAGTCAATCTCTGGTCTGTATGTGCTTATCTATTAGGGTTGGAAGTTTTAAGTCAAGTAGACTTTTAGAAAGCAAAGATCTTCATTGCAACAATGTCTAGTGGACTCATTATGATCATGTTTCATTGAATGGTGTAGGGATACTATCCGCTTGGAATACCTTACTCTTCTTCTTAAACGATTGATAGAACCACTGCGAGTCCTGCCTAAGGTCAGAAGTATATCTATTACATTTAGTTTTAAGTATGTGGAATGTTTTAAGCTGAAATGCTATATTTTTGTTGAATCACATTCGTTTTTGGAAATGATCAGGCTGAAGCTGTTCAGGAAGTTGTGGAATTTATGAACACATACTCGATCAGTCAGGAAGATTTTGATACTATAGTAGAGTTATCAAAATTCAAGGTTTCTTAATTATATTTGATGTTGTGTCTCTACTACAAACTGCTCTCAATCTCAGGTTAATTTTTTTATATTATATGCGTCAGGGTCATCCTAATCCCCTAGATGGCATACAGCCTGCCATTAAGTCAGCCTTGACAAAAGCATACAAAGAGCAAAGCAAATCTCGGATGGTTCGGGCTGCCGATCTAGTTACTCTTCCTGGAATAAAGAAGGTTCCCAAGAAGCGAATTGCTGCTATTCTAGAACCAGCTGATGGAGGGGAACAAGGTGAAGGTGACACCTTGGACGAGAGTGAAGAAGAGAACACCTCTGACCAAGGTTGTTAAATTGCAATATGTATCATGTACCGTGAATCTTATCGAATTTTAAGATACAGAAATATAATAAAAAAATAATTTAGAAATATATATTAAATTATTTCTTTAATTATTTTCTTTATTAATATAGATTTTTCATATTGATTTTTGAGTTTAAATCACAAATCAAATCTTTATTTTATTTTCCTTAATAATAATGATTTTTTAGATTTTTTTAATTTAAATTATAAATCAAATCTTTATTGCTTTCTTTTTTTATATTAAAAATTACAAATTTTAATTTAATTTTCGTATCATATCATACACGATTTGTATCGTATTGTACAATACAGTATCGTATCGCCCGATACAAACCTTTTTCTGATACATTCCACGATACGCATCGCTGCACACGTGAATTGTATTGTATCGTACGAATCGTATCGTGTATCGTATGATTCTGATAACTATGTCTCTGATGCAGAGGAGTTGGACAAGTTATATGTGCATTTTTTATTATTCTGCTTATATTAATTGATTGCTTTTTTATATATATATTTTTATGATGAGTTAGAAGGCACCACCACAGGCGATAAGCTGCAGTCAGAACTTCAAAGTTTGAATTCAAATGGTAGGTCATCATATGCCATTAGCTTGTTGGCTGATTGGAATTTCAGGTGATTTATCCTTAAATAGACAAGCATAGTTGATTTCTGATCTGTATTTGTGTATGTAGCCATGAAAGTACAATTGGAGTTGAAGGGAACGGGAAATTCAAGTTCCCAGAAGACATCTGCTGGCAGAGGTAGAGGTAAAGGTGCATCTGCATCTGCACAGAAGGTTCCTCAAACTTCAAGGGGTACTTCAAAAAGAAAAAGGTGAAGAAATATTAAACAATATTTCTTTTATGGGGACCACTACTTAGTAGAGTTGTAGAGAACCCTGCCCTTCATGAAATTGATGTTAGGCCTTCATAATTTGAGTTGACTTATTGTAAATTTTCCAAGGAGGATTCCATGAAACATGGATTACTTGTGGTGGCCCTGTTTTTTGAATGCAGATGATGTCTTCATTAGAACCTTGCATGCTACATTATAAGAATTTCTGGATTTGGCTTTAACTCTTTCTTCCCTGATATTCTGTGCATGATGTTGCCCGGGTGACCGATTTTCCATACATATTAACATTATCACTGTGCTTAACTAAATGGAAGGCCTCTAACACTTTCTGCTCAGGATTTGGATCCTTCGAATGAGGGGATCATTTTAAAGAGTTAATGTATATTACTGTAAGCTGTTGATGAGAAAATCGAATTGATTATCATATATTCATGATTTGTTTTGTGTTTGTACTTATATAAAGTCCTTGTGATGATCACAAATCAACCGTTACAATTCTGCAATTTACATGCTAAATAACATTCTTCAAATCTACATGGTCAACAATTATAAATGACAGATGTGCCTAGTTCTTGGTGCGTGGTTGGAGTGAGCTTAAGACTAGGAATGTCACTCATCGACTCGAATTACCAACACCAATTTCCCTCCTCACGATTGAGTGATCCAGAGATCAAAGTTATTGTTATTATGGTTGCAATCCACTGTAAAGAGGCAATGAACTAATCATTTTTCAACTTGTATTTTTGTTTCGTTTTGGTATATGAATTTAGATCGAAGGACTGAATTATGCTTTATGCTTACCGTGGAATTTCCTATGATGTAAGAACAAACCTCGTCTTTTATGGCATTTCCTACTTTTATGCTGCTCACTTTCCCATTGTTTGTAGTCGGGATGGGGTAGAGATATATAGGATGACATATTGACAGAAAGAGTGAGCTCTTTACTAAAATAAATTTTAGCTAGAATTTGAAATCGGAATCATCCTCAATGATTTTGAAAGAGTGAGCTCTTTACTAAAATAAATTTTAGCTAGAATTTGAAATCGGAATCATCCTCAATGATTTTTTATGCATAAGGGTTTGAGTAATCTCATGGCAGTTATTTGATTCTTAACCATGTCTTAATCTTTATAGGTTGATCTGTTTCAAGGTCCTATCTCAAATTCTTCCTCGATTTTACCTAAGCTACTTATAAGCAATGTGTAACTTATTTTTTCTCCTCGTGTTTTGTGCTGTTATTGAGCTTGTTAGAGAGATCAATATGATAGCTTGCCACACTTACCACTTATTTTCTGCTTCTTCATTCAAGTAGACGTAGTGGAAGATTATAAAGTCCATGTGCACAGGTTTGAATCATGTTCATTATTGTTTTTCTAGTGGTTATTTATGATGTTTATCTAGTGGCTATTTATAACACACTCCAAATCAGATTAAAAAAATATAGAGAAAATAATAATTCTACCAACAGAATAACCCTAATTTACACTTAACAGAAACATTCAATTTAGTTCTAGTATGATGTTTTTGTTAGAACTATAAATATCGTGTACAATTGTAGTTTGTTTAGATAGCATCTTCTGTTCCATGAATTTTCGATACGTACCTAGCACCCAAGAGCTCCAATTGGCCTGTTTACAATATTTTAATCTTGTCTGAAATCGAAAAACTAAACCCAAACATGTCCTAGAGTACCAAATCCACCAATACCTCTGCAACCACTTCCCTAACTCAGAATATTGGCGTTGTTGAACTGCAGAATGTTCAGCAAACTTGTGCCTAATGGAAAAAATTATCTCAAGTGGTCCTAATATGTCCAAAACTATATAAAAGGGAAGGACTAATTGAACCACTTCTAATTGAACCACTTCGTGAAAAAGGCCCAAATTCCAAGGATCCAAAATTCGCTGCTTGGGATGAAAAAGATGCACTGATGCAGTAGTAATGACATGGCTGTGGAATTCAATGGTGCTGGAGTTAACTGACTCGTGTATTAGTCTGAAAACTGTTAAGGAAATTTGGGATTATTGTAGGCAGGATTTTTCTAAGGTGGAAGATTCTGCCCAAATTTATGTAACTAAGATGAAGATTTTTGCTACAAAATAAAGGAAGGAGCAATACATGGAGACAATCCTTTTAAAGACCCTATGGAGTTCAACAAGGACGAAATTTAAAAACCGAGACAGTTTCTAAGGACACTGCAAAATCCACACTGAAACAGGTAGTTCATCCTTGACACTCTCAGGTAATGGGACTCCAAATCCCATGCACCAAGTGTTTAAACCTCCCTTGAACATGAAACATTGAGCATGGATTGTAGATTTTGGAGTTACCCACCTCAGGACACAATCATCTAGTTGATTTGTGTCCTATTAACCCTGTCCTTGCACAAATAGATTTACTACTGCTGATGGATCTCATGTTACTATTGCTTGAAAAGCAGATATTTTAATTAAGGGAAATACTACTCTCATTTTACATGAGGTAGTTATCTCATTTTCTCTCACTTCGAAAATCGTGCCCCTTCTTTTTTCTTTTTCTTTTTTGCTTTTAAAAAGTGGGCCCTACTTGGATTCTCTCTGTAACATGAGAGAACTACTCTCATGTTACATGAGAGTAATATTACCCTTTAATTAATCAGCATTTAGTCCTAAAGAATGTGCAACATGTGCCGAAGGTATATGAATGTGATCAGTCGCTAAACTTACAAAAGAATTGGAACTGCAATACGACCTTTTCTTCTACACTTCATGAATTTCAAAATCAGTAAATGGGGAAGAGGATTGGACTTGCTAGGGCAAAAGGGTATTTCTCATGAAACAAAAATTTCAAGTCAGCTTTATTGTAATTTTTTTTTTCCAAATGATCAAACAGCAAAATGAAACTTCTTCGCCATTCTTTTAAGTAAAGGGAGTTATCTGTTAAGTCTTCTTGTGTTATTAACCCACCACAAAATGAGGTGGCTAATAGAAAAATTAGACACATTTTAGCTGTCACCTGAGCCACTCTCTCTCAAAAAATGTTCTTAAACACCTATTTCATCAATATAATACCATCATTACAGTAAATAGACATAGGGAGGGTGAAGGGATGCCATAAAAATGTCATATTACAGTAAAGAATCATTTTATTACTGTATTTCCATTTCCATTTCCATTTCTCGCAGAAAAATTACTTACTGAATCAGGCACAGATTCCCTGCCTTTATTACACAGAAACCTTTTCATCCCACCAAGACACCATCCTAACGAATTGTAGCAGCAGTACTACTAATTGAATCTAAATTACATATTTGATATATGCCCTATATATTGTATTAAGAGGACAGTCACGAAGCTTTTGTTCTGTCGTCTTAGGACCCAAATCCACAAAAAGAAAATCAAGAGGGAGAAAAAAAAAAAAGAGCACAACAGAAACGTGGGAAAACCAAACCCATATAGTAGCTGCTATTAACCATTGCCTTCATATTCCGTTGACTTTTTACATCTTTGGAATTTCCTGTGCATCTGCATCGAGGCATGCACAATCAGTATGTAAATAAACAATGTCAAAGGAAATCAAGAAAGCTAAGAAGTCAACTTAATGGCAATTACGAAAATAATATGGTCATAAAATGTATTAACCCCAACAACCCCCAACCAAAATGAGAATATTAGGATAGTAATAACAAGAAGCTTCATACACCAATTTTTTATTTTATTAAAGGTTACCTTAGATTTTTTAAATAATTTTTTGGTATTTGAGATTGGAACTCACATGGAGGAGGGAGAACACCAACTTGATACCAAGTGGCTGACCACCACCAGGTCAAAGGCCTGATGGCTGAATTGTGTGTTTGAACCAATCACCAAACCCACAGAAATGTGAACAGGTTTTGTACTTGAGATGAATTTGTGCTTTGAGCATCTAATTTCACCAACTAGGGTGCATTATCAGTAAGATTAAACATAAATGTGACTATGTGAGAAGATCAAGAGAAACAGATGAAAGTGGTCATGCATGAGCAAGGAAAATATTCTTTATATTTCATCATTTACCCAAGTTAACAAGATCCCATTAATTAGCTAGCTATCAGGAAGCATTAGATAGTAAGGTATAATCTCACTTTTTTTTTATTATGAGTGTTGCTAGCATCCAAATGAGGGATCTTTATTGACAAGAGGTGACTCTAGAATGCTGTCCAAAGGTTCCAAGCATCCAGCATGCTGCTTCAAGCAATTTTCCTGCCAATCCATTCAAACTTGAGCTTAAACAGAAACTATGTAAAATGATTTATTTAATCAGTTATAAGTATCACTCAAATAAAAAAATAAAAAATCAAACCTTAGATAAACTACTTCTTTACATAGATTAGCATGTGGAAAGAGATATCAAAGAAACAAAACGTGAAAAATTCATTTAACAAGACAATCATATTCTTTGATATTCCAAGGTTGGAGTTGGACATAACCAAGGTTGAGCTCACAAACATCGAAACTAACATAAGATTCATTCTATTATATCATTCATCACTTTCCTCTTATCTCTCTCTTTCTTTTATTAGGAAAAAAAAAAAAAAACAGATGTCATCACATTGCATTATTTGCCATATTCTTTGTGCAAGTCTGCACAAAGTACGAATTACTAAAGTACTCACCATTTTCTATGGTGAACCTTTTACCAAGCAAAAAGTCACAACTAGTAGAAGATAGATCATGCAAATATGATTGCTATACTAAATGCAAGATAATTGTTACCAGTGATGAGAAAAAAATGCAAACATAGGACAATAAAATCTCATTATCAGGTATCAGCACCAGCTAAAATTTGTAGCCGTTCTACACAAAGCTCTCATCAAATAAGATTTAGAAAATTCCCTACTTCTTTTCAAAAAGTTTCTTTCCACCTTTCAGAAGCTACCTAACAAATAACTTATTAAAGGATCTAAGTTGATACATAGAAACTCTGAAGGCGAAAAATGTTATGCCACTGCTACCTACTCAAAAAACTACGAAAAAACTATTACTCTGTGAAAGAAAAACCATAAATACTACAGTGATGTCGCACTTTCTTGTTTAATAATTCTTAATAGACAGAGCTAGGCAGATAAAATTTGACAAACTATAAACCATGTTAAATTAATTTGAATTCTTGAATTTTGACATTTAGTTCAACATGCCTAAAGTTTAAAATAGTTTACCTTAGAACAATGATCACCTGAAATTTTCTTGACGACACATTTGATTTAAAAGGATTCCGGAAGGAGGAAAAGTATTCCTTATATTTTGTTAAAAAAAAATGTCTTAATAAGACCTTCACTTTTTAAAGTTTTGACAAGTACCTTAAAACTCAAGAATTCTATTTTCCACATCAACAACTCTTAAGTATTTCCTAATGGTCATTTTTCTTTTTCTTTTCTTTTGTATACGATGTATTTTGTAATGATCTAACCTAACAAGTAACAACCGCAAATCAAAACAAGCAAAATGGCAAATCCTTCACTCAACAACTTAAGTCCTCTTTTTTTTCTTTTTTTTTGGTAATTCAACTTAAGTCCTCTTTTACTACTGTATAAATTCTCACATATTCCAAACGCCCGATTGAAGAAATTACCTTAATATAGCTCTTACTCACTATTAACACTTCTTTTTGTTAGTTTTTCCCCTAAGAAGCAGTCACATTAAATACTTTTCACTCTTCTCATAACAATTTCAACCTCCAACTACAACGCTACAAGAACCAAAATAAACTTGCTTGTCAAAATCCATAGCACGAAATTTTCTTTTTTTGACAAACTTGACCATAACCAGAAGAAGTCCATCCATCCACAGAATAAAACCCCACTTAAAAAAACGCAAAGAAAAAACTCACATGGTCCAAATCATTAGCATGAAAACAAACATGTAAGCCCCAAAATTCACAAACTTAACCAATACCATAAGAAATCCAACCATAGAATAAAACGCCACTTAAAGTAAACGCAAAGACCAAAGAGAAAAAAGAAAAAAAGAACAATCTTTTTCTATCATAACTTAAAAACCACCCAAACAAGTAACAAAAAAGAAAAGAAAAGAAAAGTAAAAGTGAAATATTAAAAGTAAAGAGAAAGCAACGCACCTCTTCTATGCATGACAACAGGTTTAGCGGGTTGACCCGTGCGGGTACGGGTCACCGCAGGCTTAACCTCCTCCTCTTCTTCTTCAAGGGGAAACAACACCCCATCAATCCCTTGCACGGAGATTCGACCATCGGTGTAAATATCCGGGTCGAACAAATAAGCCGACCCGTCACCGTTCCCGAACTTAACCGACCCATCAGCCTCCTGAGCAACTACCTTATGAGGTAACCGAAGCGTATCGTACCGAACCTTACCGAATCTCCGAACCGCATTGTACATGCTCTCTTCGGTTTGGTACTCTGGTATGAGATGGTAGTACATGATCTGCTCCGGCGCACCCGGTTCACTTAACTGGTCCGTCGTTAACTTAGCCATGGCTTCGTCGTTCGGAGCCAGCACCGTCAAAACGTAACCCTCCGACACTAAACGACCCATCTCCGTCGCGAGCGACGTCAGGTTCACCAGAATATCCGCCATCTCGTTGTAACCGCCGTAGTGGAGTAATGTTTGGATGAAGTCCTTCACCTGCGCCTCGCCGTTGAAGTGGTGGTGCGGCCCTCCCGGTCCCGGCGCCGGCGCCGGAGCTAGCGAGGGACCAGGAGCCATTGCGTCGTAGATTGGAAGCGCCGGCGGTGAACCCGGTTTCTGCGGCGGGGATAGCTTCTTCAGCCGGTGGGTTCTCGGGTCCACCTCCGGTGCACCCTCGGGTTTCACGGCGGAGATTGAGCGGAGGCTCCGGCGGCGGTTGAACTCGTCCTGGACGGAACGCGGCACGAGGAGGCGCTCGATTCCGTGGATGACTCCGTCGGGTCGGGTTATGACATCCGGGTGGATTATCCGGGCGCCGTCGATGGTGAAGTGGCGAGTGGTGACGTTGTGTTGGAGGAGGAGGTGGTGCTGAGGGGAGAGGGTTTGGTGTCGGGTCGACCCGGTAAGATTTATCGGGTTAATGGATCCGGTTATTCGGGTCGGGATGATGTGGGACATGAGAAGTGTTTGAAGGGACTTGAGGTTTCGTGGTTCGAGAAGGAAGCGTTTGAAATCAGGGTCGAGATCTCTTTCAAGAGCTTCGTTTTTTGGTGCGAAGATTGTGATGTTGTGTTTTCCCACCGTGTCTTCTAGTTTCTGCAAAAGCATGGCTTTTTCAACTAACTCTGCTAGTTCTGTGTAATGTGAGTCAAGAAGAGCCACGAGGATTGAGTTTGAGTTTATTTGACCCTGACCCATTGTTGTTGATGATGAAGATGAGAGGGAGAATGTGATGGTTGGAAAGAGGAGAACGAGGATAGTGCAGAATATGCGGAGCTTGGTGACGCCATAGATGCCCCAATCCATGGCGATTTGAGGGTTCAGACAACACCAGATTCAGACACACAGAGAGTGAAAAAAACGCTACCTATGTTGTGTTTGGTGTTATGTTTCTGTGTACACCGGGAACATGTATTTGCTTTTGTTTATGTGAGTTTGGATGTTGTTCTGTTTTGGTTTGGTAAGGTAAAATACTAAATACCAAGATTTGTTGTTACGTTATCAGTGTTGTTGTTAATTGATAAATAGTTAGGAAGTAGAGTTTTTAGTGGCGAATACTACTTCTGCTTTTATTTTTCTGGTTGTTGTGGTGGGTAAATCAACGAGTGTCGGTTGCTTTGAAAAAAAACTGTTGGCCTTGCCACGTGGCAGGATATGAATGGACAGGAAGATGAAATGGTGTGAGATCGGATACAGGAGGATAATATAAACATACTTTCATTAATTAGCTACTAATTGTAATGGGGTCTTTCTATTCTTTTGTCTTTCTCCTCTCTATTTTTTTTTATTCTGTTCGCGTGCATTTTCTTTCCACCTTCTCTATTTGGGTTATGAGCATTCTTGTTTAAGTGGCTAGTTTTGGTATGATTTTGAATCATTTGACACTTAAGTATTTACTTTTCTAGTGTGAGTTTCATTTTCTAATTGACATGTTAAAAAAAACGAGCATCGGATGTGCTCCTTCATAATTCGCACGCTGAGAATAAGTTGTATAATAAGTATTTTGTGAATGTTGAATGATTGTGTGCATTTAATATGAATCAGTGATCAGGTCCAGACCATGGAATAGTTTAATGCACCGAAGCAAATAAACGAGATACTATTAGAGTTATGAATAAAGAGTGGTGGTGCCCACTTAGCCTTGGGTTCCCTCGTTTGCTTATTGTATTGGGGCATTAGCTGAGCTGTTTCTGTCCTCCAGAAACTCTGTATGTAACATAACAAGGAACCAAAAAGCAACACTCCAAAAAAAAAACATGTAGAATTAAGAATACAAACGTTCTAGAAAGAGCTTATAGTATGGTAAGAACGGCAAAATTTGTATATATATAAGTTCATCTCTTAGTTTGGTAGAGGTGAATTGGACGGGAGAAAAAATAACAAAAAGCCACAAATAATAATGAAAGCTTTGGATAAATGTATTTAGAAGGAAAGTTAGAGATTTACTGGAGAAGTTTGGAAGTAAAATAAGGGATACTTAATTACATACCTTCTTTTCTTTTTTCCTATAGTGATATAGCAAACACAAGTGTCCTACGTATGGAGAGCGACCTATCCCCCACCGGGAGGGCTGTTAGCCTGTCTCTTGAGCTTTCTTTGCTTCGTCTTTACCTTCATCGTTTCATAATAAATGTGAAAGTTGAAAAGAGGTAATAATCTTTGATTGATGGGGAAAGAAATCCTTGGTTTATTGATTACTATGAATGTTAACCCCATTGCATATATAATTTGCATGGTTTTAGTTGTCAAGTTTAATTTCTCTACTAACTGAAAGTTACAACATGATATCCTTTCAAACAATGCCAATTCTCAATGGGTTACGTTTCTTTTCATTTTTCCCAACTAATAATTATATATTATTTCAAGTTAAACATTAATTATAATAATGTGTTTTTTTTTTTTCGTGGCATTGTTTAACTAAGGTTTATAAACTTAAATGTCAGTAGCATTTAAATCAACCATGATTCCGAAGTACGAGTAAAACATAACAAAGATAATTGTACGCATATGCAATGAAGAAAAAAGAGTGTGAAAAATGGCCATGGCACAAAATAGCTTGCGCTAAATAAAGTCATATAAAAATGAAATGAATGTAGAAATGGCACATAAAAGGACAAGGGGAAGTGATTAGGAACGTAATTCTATAATCAGTATTCGGTAGGGGTGTGGTAGTAGAATCCATTATTACATAATTAACAATGACTTTGGTCACAATATTAAATGAGTTTGGTTTTATGTATCCCTCAACAGTTAGGTAGGAAAGAGGCACTTCTGGGGCAATGACTTTAATCCCCTGTTTTGCTTCCTTTGATCCTTTCCCTTGCTCTGTGTGCATTTCATTGTTCCTCTTAGAAAATTGTCGGTGGCACTAATCATTTAGTCACAATTATTTTAATTTTTGGTATTTATAATTTGTGACTTTGGCATATCTTTAAGTTGTTGGCAAGGAATATAGCAACGAGAAGTTTGAATTCACCAAAACACCCTTCTAGAGTATTAAAAGCTTTACGAATCCTAATAAGATAATAATAATAAAGGGTATTGTTGACTATAACGACTTCACCTTGCTATCAAACAAAATATCTCGTCAAAACGAGCGTGCTTACTTTGTTCCTTCGTACGTCTTTCCATAATTACATTAAATTCAACCTGTTATTTTCTTTAATATGTATTTTATAATTTTGCGAAAATGGACGTCTCACTTGTTTTATATATGGGTTTGTTTCGGTGTTTTTTGTCGTTTGGGATATAACTTTTTTTTCTCATACTTTTGTAACCCATAGTTAATAATCAAATTCAAGTTTGTTTATATATATATATATATATAGATTGATAAAACAATTTTTCAATCAATTAAGGTAAATTATTTTTTATAAGTTCAAAATGACGTTATTTTGTGACAAAAATTAAAGTATTTTTGTAATTCTAATTTATTGTGTAACCCAAAACGATATCATTTTGGGCTAACTGAAGATAACTTTATATCCAGTAACTAGTAATTGGAGAAATACTTTTCCATATATGAAAAAATGTTTTTTCTTTTAAATGACATGTCATTTCACACTCACAAAGAGGTGAGATCTACATCTTTATTTTTTTTTGTCCACTCTCTCTTTTCCATGATTTATCTCTTTCTCTAACTTAAAATAACACAACTTTACATCCTTAAAATGACACACACTTTCCTCTCTCTCTCTCTCTCTCTCTCTCTATATATATATATATATATATATATATATATATATATATATATATATATATATGGGACAAGATATTCTTACACCAATATAAGAGTTAGAAGTCTTATACTCAATCTTGAGCATTGATTCACTTGTATCCAATGGCTCACATTACTAAAAAATTAGAGCCCTTAGATATAAGTGAGATCAATGGTCAAGATTGAGAGTGTAACTTACACTGGTGTAAAATGATCTGACTATATATATATATATATATATATATATATATATATATATATATATATATATAAATATATGGGTTTTATAAGAGTTATGTTGTAGGAAAAGTGATTGTGTAATGTTATAGAAATTCATTTTGCGTGTTGTAGTTTTTCTTTTGTTTCAAAAAGTGTGGGCCCCACAAAATGTTGTGTGTGTAGGAAACTTTTTTGTGTCATGTTAAATGATAAATGCAAATTCCTATATATATATATATATATATATATATATATATATATATATATATATATATATATATAGGGATAAATAAGAGTTATGTTGTAGGAAAAATAATTTGATTATGTTAAAATAAGACAAAACAAAATCATTGAACAAAATGTCTTATCCTATTTTTTTATTATTATTTTTTTTGTCTTTTAGTGTTGCATGATAGGAATTTCCATCGTGTAACATGACAAAATAAAGACTCATATATATATATATATATATATATATATATAGGGCTTTATGTTTCTCATGATATAGGAATCAAAAAATTTTCTTGTGCACACTCATCCAAAGTGAGACTCATTATGAGAGAGAAAAAAACAAACTAAAAAAGTAGAAATACGTGGATTGATGGGTGAGTAGGAATTTGCGCTCCTCTTATGCAGCATAGGAAACTTCATTACCATATATATATATATATATATATATATATATATATTATCACAAGTTATTGATACAAAAATTGATATAAAAGTACATTGTTTTATTTTAGAAACAAAGATGTCTAGTCAGAAACTAGTGAATTAATCTTGAATTTTTGGACTCTCTAAGATATCTATGAAAGAGATACTTTCCAGCTAACAAATCACTATACACAAAATAATAGCTTAGTCAAAGAAGATGATGTGTGCACACATATACGAAAGAGTATAAGTGTCATACTTATCGTCTTATTTATAAAATTTAGCCGTAGATAATAAAATTCTGGAACTTTTATGAGGACCCAACGTTAGATCCATTCAAAAATTATTTCCTAGTTACCTCTTTCGGTTGCCCTTTCTTGAGCTTTCTACAATATGGGCTCTCCCGTAACATACATTAATCAGTTTATTCAACAAAAGAAGAAGAAAACCATCATGGATGATTGTGTCCAACTAGAAAACGTCACAATTAAGAGCCACACAAAACAGCTTATAGTGATTTCATGAATCATGATGACGCTCACAGCACGCTTACCTTTGCCATGTTTGTCTTACATAGAAAACACGTAGTAAAGCAAGCAAGCACAAACAGAAAATGCCATTCTCATAACAATTCGTTAACGATAATAATGCATTACTCATCATCCATCAATAACTCATTTTTTTTCTCCTTTTATTTACCCTTTATATTTCCAACTTTCCCTCACAAATAACACTCTGATTTCGATATACTGAAAGAGGAAACCAAAAAAAAAAAAAATGTCCACAACTTTGGATTCTAATCCCACTGTAGTTGATGAGTGTCGTGGTGTCCTTCATGTGTATAGTGATGGCTCCATTGTACGCTCTTCAAAGCCAGGCTTCAACGTCCCGGTTGAAGACGACGGCACCGTTTTGTGGAAAGATGTCGTTTTTGACTCTGCCCATGATCTTCAGCTTCGGCTCTATAAGCCAGCCGATTCATCTGGCTCCAAGCTTCCCGTTTTCTTCTATATCCATGGCGGCGGCTTCTGCATCGGCTCCCGCACATGGCCTAACTGTCAAAACTACTGCTTCCGGCTGGCTTCTGAGCTTCGAGCCGTGGTTGTCGCCCCAGATTATCGGCTGGCTCCAGAGAACCGCCTCCCGGCTGCAATTGACGATGGTTTTATGGCTCTCAGGTGGCTTCAAGCCCAAGCTGTGAGCCATGAGCCCGATCCCTGGTTGAGCCATGTGGCTGATTTCAGCCGGGTGTTTGTTTCGGGTGACTCGGCTGGTGGAAACATAGCTCATAATTTGGCGGCTGGGCTCGGATATGGGTCACCTGAGTTGGCACCAGTTCGGGTCAGGGGTTATGTTCTATTGGCACCTTTCTTTGGTGGAACTATCCAAACAAAGTCAGAAGTTGAAGGACCAAAAGATGCTTTTCTCAATTTAGAACTTATTGATAGGTATATGACTTAATTGTTAATTAATATGATATGTGAATTAAAAGGTTTTGGAGGCACATAATATATGTTTGTTGCTAACTATTTCTATTTTGTTATTTGTTATTTGTTAATTGCTGACTATGTGTTCTATCTCACTGAGCAGGTATTGGAGGCTTTCTATACCTGTTGGGGACACTACTGATCACCCACTTGTGAATCCATTTGGACCAGTTAGCAAGAGCCTTGAAGCAATTGATCTTGACCCAATTCTAGTGGTGGTTGGAGGAATTGATTTGCTTAAAGACAGGGCAGAGGATTATGCAAGGAGGCTTAAGAATTGGGGCAAAGATATAGAGTATGTTGAATTTGAAGGACAACCACATGGTTTCTTTACTATTGATCCCAACTCAGAACCATCGAACAAGTTGATGTTGATCATCAAACAATTCATAGAGAAACATTTGGGCTAAGTTTGAGGGCTCCAAATACAGCTGTAACATGCATCTTTATTGTAGTGGCTTTTAGAGTGGTCCTTGGTTTTAACTCCTACTGGGTTTCAAATACGTGGAGTTACAAGCTAAAGGGGTCAAAAATAACTATCGATGCATCAAGTTTATTTTATCCAAAACCTGTGTTGAATTGCTATTTATAAAAGTTTCCTCTTGTAAGCTAATAAATGCTTCAATTTCTGAGTCTGCGGTAGATTTGGCATGGATCATTAAGACTGAGATCATCTTCTGTACATCTGTAGTATATATATATATCTGCCATTTAACAAGTGACACTTAGATAAAAAAAATATTTTTTTCTCCTTTCCATACAAACATGACAATTTTTTATTGGATAGATATACTGAGTGAATGAAACAACAGTAATATCATAGATATTTCGAGGCAATAGCTATGAGGGACAAATCAAGAAAGACGAGAGTGAAATCTTTTTAGTTTTTTCATCTTGATTTCCAAATTATTTCGATTCAATCATACAAGAAAAGCTCAACCCAAAATACTAATTTATTAGGTGAAGAGTGTCTAATGATTTAAGTTTCGCACTTAATTTCTTTATTTACTCAATGTGTCACATAATATTAATCATCGTGTTCACAATTAGTACGTATATATAGAGAGAGAGAGAGATAACTTGTGCACAAGAATTATTCCATTTCTTATAAAACAGAATCACATGCTTATGAATCCTGACTGCAAGGAAAGGGGAGGGAATCCTTTATATCAGAAAGTGAAATAAAAAAATAAAAAAAGGTAATGTAATAAATTGCTCGTTATACATACCAATGTTATTAAAACCGGTCCGGTCATTGACCCGGTCGAGGTACTGGGTCAGTGGGTCACTGGTTGAACCGCATGACTCGGTAATTATATGTATTTTTATGATTTATATTAAAAAATTATAAGCATACTCAAATATTTAAAAAAATTGATAAAATTTTCAAATATTTTAATATAAAAAATAATAAATCACATATTATTATCCAATAAAGGATCAAACAAAAATATAACGATCATGATACGTGATTTTAGGTTCAGAAAACGACATCTCTAACTATAAATCAAATCAAAATTTTCTGAATAGTGCATAATTGAGATAATATTAGTGTTGTAAGTACATAACTTATGTAAGTCAATAAGAAAGAAATATTCAAATATGTCTATTATGATTTATTTATTTTTGAAAAAATAAATAATTTGATTTTTTTTTGGAACCGGGCTGAGTCACAGGTTAACCGACCGGGTCACCGATTTTCATGAAAACCGGCCGAATCAGACCAGGTCACATCGGTTCTGATGCATGGCCAGTTCGTTACATCAACCGAACCGATTATATGACCGGTTCATCGATTTCCAGGTCGACCCGGCCGATCGGTCAAGTTTAATAACACTAATACATACGACTCAAAAGTCAATTTCGTACAGATTAACAAAAAAACTGAACTTTTTTTTTCAGCTCATGCCATAACTCATTTTGAATTCTCAACTTCCTCAAGTTTATTATTAAGTGAATATCAATCCTTGTTAATTGAACCTCTAAAATTCAATTAATTAATCTTGAATTTATAACTTAATAAATTTATTTTTGCACAATTAGTCAATTACTCGAACAAAAAATAAAATCAAATGCTAATAAATATCAAATAAAAAATAGTAATACTTAGAATCTGTATATTATTGATAGTGTTTACATTAACAGTTAACAGAGTTCTCAGCAGATGACGTTATGTCCCACTTAATGCAAAGAAGAAAAACAGTGAATATATCTCAAGGAGTAGAAGGAACATGGTATTTTACTAATTTGTGTAAGATTCTATGCGAAATATGTTAGAAATTTTATACGTGGGCAATATTAGTTGAGAAAGGATATACTTACCACCAAAAGAGTTTACAACATTTACAACCAATCGAACTACCATTGGTTTCCGTTAATCTAATAGTTATAATTTATTGAAAATTATTGGGTCGTATTTATTAATTAATTATTAATTCTCAATAAGTTATAATTGTTAGATTGACGAAAATCAACGATAATTAAGTTAGTTGTAAATGTGGTAAACTTTTTTGATAGTAAATATATCTTGTCCCAATTAGTTAATGTTTTTGTATTTTCTAAAATAATCGAGTTAATGAAAAAAAATTCATTTAAGTTTGAAAAAATTTCCCTTTTGGATTGTATGTAAGTACATCAATAGTACCAAAAGAGTTCTCTGGATGGAGATTTCTTCAACGCACCAAGGAGTATCCAAGTCGGTATTCCTTTTTTTAAATAGAGAAAGTTTTCTTCTATTTGAATCCAGGTTTTTATTTGTATTTTTATTTCAGTCCTAAAAGTTTTTCCTTTTTGGATTGGATATAGGTACATTAGTAGTAGGGGTGCTAAACGAACCAAGGGTCTTTGGCTCGGCTCGTGAAGGTTTGAGCTTATATGTCTAAAACTGGTTGTTGGCACCAGGCTTAAACTTGTATAAAAGTTCGTTTAATAAAAAGGTCTCAGGCTCTAATTCAAAAGCTCGGGCTTAGAGCCTCTCAGGTTGACCTAGTATTTTTTTTTTTTATATTTTTTCTACTACTTATAATAGCGTTATCATTCTCCTCAATCTATTTCATCCCATTTTATTGGTTAAATATACTTTTTTAATGATTTTGTTCTATATTATGCTATTTGGATATACATTGAATCTATGAATATTTATGAAATTACTAGTGTTGTTGATTGTATATTCTGTTTGGAGAAATTTTTGTTTACTTATTTTTTTAAACAGGCTAAACCAGGCTTTTATTTTTTGTAAATAAGTCAGGGCACAGGCCGATAATTATATTTATAATAAGTAACAGACTTGATCAGACACATTTAAACACAAACTTAGCCTTTTAAGACCAAAGCTCGGCTCACCTCAGCCCGTTAACACCCCTAATTAGTAGTACCAAAAAAGTTCTCTTGATGAAAATTTCTTCAGTGCATCTGGAGTACCCAAGTCAGTACTCTTTTTTCTAAATGGAAAAAGTTTTCTTCCATTTGAATCTGTAAAGAACCTTGAGATACACCACCCCAAAAGCTAGTTCAAAGGGTGGGAGTGCCCAAGGCCTTATAAACTCCACATTAGTTGCACATACAACAATGTATATCTCAACACGCCCCCTCACACAAGAGCCCATTGGGCTTGAAGAGTGGACAATGCAACAGGCCCCAGCTTACCTGTGCTAAGAAACGCCACAAGAGAAAGTGGGAGGCGGCGAGGCTCTGATACCATGTAAAGAACCTTGGGATACACCACCCTAAAAGCTAGCTCAAAGGGTGGGAGTGCCTAAGGCTTTATAAACTCTACATTAGTTGCACATACAACTAATGTGAGACTATATATCTCAACACGCCCCCTCACACAAGAGCCCATTGGACTTAAAGAGTGGACAATGCAACAGGCCCAACCTGGCTCTGATACCATGTAAAGAACCTTGAGATACACCACCCCAAAAGCTAGCTCAACGGGTGGGAGTGCCCAAGGCCTTATAAACTCCACATTAGTTGCACATACAACCAATGTGAGACTATATATCTCAACAAAATCCAAGTTTTTATTTGTATTTTTATTTAAGTGCCAAAAATTTTCCCTCTATGGATTGAATATAGGTATATCCGTAATACCAAAAAAGCTCTCGTCCTTTGATTTTGTCATTGAAAATTTGAAAGATTAATTAAACAATGCTTCCTTCTTTGCAGAAATTTTACTCATTCAATAAAATTATTTATGGGGGAAATATTTATATTCTTAATGGTATAATTTTTGTCTTTTAAATGAAATTACAGTATTTTATTAAAATATTTAATTAGCTATTTTTTATTTGTCTGAATATTTTTATTTTTTAAATATTACAATAAAATATTGTATTTTATTTAGAATGACATAAAATTATATTCTTTACATGGATAAATATTTTTTCCATTATTTATTTATCCTGTTATTTCTTTTTGCGGTGTTTATTTCTTAATTATTTTAAAACTAATCACAATCGTTTTCTTACTTATTAATTTAAGAAAATATATAGATGATAAAATAGTAAACATTTTTATTTCTTATTAAATGTCCAAGTATAAACATAAAAATTAAAATTGTAACTAATTTTTACTTTCTGATTTTTGTTATATTTAGACATTTTTTTTAACTCTTTATATATAACAGTAATTTACTTTAAATGTTTTTAAATTAAATTTTTATCAGAAAAATTAAAATGAAAAATTATGCCAATGAATGCGCTAATTGTATCATGTATTTATTTTATGTATGTGGTATATTTCAATGAATATGAATTTGAACCACACATGTTAAAGTTGAATTAGTCCGAGACCAAAAATATATAGCGACACCTAAGCTGTAAAATAGTTCAGTTCGCAACTGAGATTCTAAGAGTTTGCTTGGGTCAGGGATTCAAACTCTGCCTCAAGTAAATTCTTGAAATCTCCTTGAATGAGAGATTAGTTTCATTCTTTCTCTAGCAGCGAAGCTCAATGCACTCCCCTTGTTCTACTGAAGGGTAGCCTTCAGAGCCGTACTCCGAGAGTAAGATGATCGAAGAATGTTGATACCTTCAGGTTATACAAAAAAAAAGATAATATAGTGACACCTGAGAGGGAAAGAAAGCTAAAATATTATTTAAAATAATTATAAATAATGTTAATAAATTTGGACTGGTTGTTGACTTGGTCAGGATACTGAGTTAATGAGTCACTAATTCAACTAGTAATGCACTGGTTCAATCGGTTAAATTGGATTTAAATAAGGGTTTGGTGTTTGTCATTTTAAATGACATAAGTTATGTCATTTTAAAAAAGAGATAGACACAAGGAATGAAAATCATAGGAGAAAAAATGGGTGGTTTTTTTTAATTTAAATTTTTTTTAAAAATAATTTTTTGAGTCTCTCTCTTAAAATGACATAACTTTATGTCATTTAAAATGACAAACACTTTTCTCTTTAAATAATGTATAAACATAATAATATATGTATTTTAATATCAAAGTTTTTGTAACATAATGGTAAGTGTTGCTGGCAAGTTCCAATTGGTTACTGGTTCTGCCGGTTAAATTGGATTTATATAAAAACTTATTAAATATAATATATAGATGTATTTTAATATCAAAGCTCTTGTAGCATCGTGATAAGTGTTGTCGGCAAGCCCCGATATATAGATGGGTTATGTTTATCTCAT